GGTGATTCTCTTGCCTCAGCCTCCCGAGTAGCTGGGACTACAGGTGCCCATCACAACGCCCAGCTATTTTTTTTCTTGCAGTTTGGCCAGGGCCAGGTTTGAACCCACCACCCTTGGCATATGGGGCCGGTGCCCTACCCACTGAGCCACAGGGCATGCCCCCAGTTTTTCCTTTCTGAAAATGAGTACATATTTTTTCCACCCTCTATATATGTACTTTTTATTTTTTTAAGTAATTACATTTTAAAAAGGAGGGCAAGTGGGAAACCTGGATTTCCATACCCACTTGGCAATAACAAGACAGCGAAACGGCAGCAACACATCAGCAATATTCTTCCCTACTCCCATCCTTGCCAAGGTGGTATCAGAGGAAGCTAGTTAAAATAGAAGATTTAAATGATATATTGAGTTTCATCACAGAATATCCAAAATGTCCAAGCTTCCATCAAAAATTACTCATCATACCAAGAACCAGGAAAATCTCAACTTGAACAATAAAAGGCAATCAATCAATAGACTTCAACACTAAGATAAAAGGAATGTTAAAATTATCTGGCAATGATTTCAAAGCAAGCATCATAAAAACACAATAAACAACTACAAGTACTTTTGAAGCAAAAGAAAATAGAAAATTCCAACAAAAAAGAAAATAGAAAATTCCAACAAAGTAAAAGAAAATTTAAAGAAAAGCAAAATGGTATCCTAAGTGAATGTGTTTTTTCTTTATGAGAGTTTCTTTCTCTTTAAATCTCATTTTCTTCAAACCAAATTTCCTATGGATCTGATTTAACAAAATTAAAATTATGGGCTCACCATAGAGAGAAGGTTTAGATTTCACTGGCCTATTAATGTAAAGTGTTTTCCATTCCAAATTCTGAGAAGGAGGACATTCAATTGGCACTAAACATCCCAATCTGTTTTTGGTTAATGGAGCAGATACCGTGGTAGAACAAACTGGTGCTTCTGAGAATTATTACTGTGGGTCAGGCCGGAGGCAACAATTTAAAGAAGTCATCACCACAGAGACTCAGAAAGGGGCCCTGTCTTAGTCAGTTCGGGCTGCTAGAGAAAGTAGCAGAGTTGGGGTGACTTGTAGACAACAAAAATTTATTTCTCACAGTTCTGGATTCCAGAACTCCAAGATCAGGTTGCCGACATGGTCTGGGTCCATTGAGGGCCTTCTTCCAGGTTGCAGACTGCCAATTTCCTATGTCCTCTCATGACAGAAAAATGGCTGAAGAGCTCCCTGGGGCTTCTATTTTTTTTTTTTTTTTCAGTTTTTGACCGGGGCTGGGTTTGAACCCGCCACCTCCAGTATATGGGGCCGGCGCCCTACTCCTTTGAGCCACAGGCACTGCCCCTGGGACCTCTTTTTTAAGAGCACTAATCCCACTATGAAAACTCACCTTTCTTACCTAATTACCTCCCAAAGACCCCACCTCCAATCACATTGGAGGTTAGAAATTCAACATAAGTTTTTGAAGGACACATAATATCATCTATAGAAAACACTTGAATGGGTTGTCAAGTTTGGGAGAGATTCATAACTACAGGAAAATGTTGTGGCACTGGGGAAGGTGCTGAGCCATCTCAGGAAGGCTGAGATGTAGGAGAGACCACTATAGGAAGTCTGTCTAAGCCATTTCCTTCCCCTTCTGCTGGAAAGTTAAATGCTCAAATGCAGAAACTCAGAGTCTATACTGGCACTGAGAGATGGGCCCTGCTGACCAGATTTAATGTCCCAAGGTAGACACATAAACGTGGCAAGCACATTTCCTACTCTGGTAATTTGGATCTGACCCAGCCAAGAGGCCAAATTAGAAGTTATATGGGAAGTCTGCACACCTGCAGCTTGTTTCTATCAGAGCCAGATGAGCTGTGGCTGAAGTCCTTACACGTGCTGAAGACTTTGGCCAAGCCTTTAAAGCAGGTGTCCTCAAACTACAGCCCGTGGGCCACATGCAGCCTGCCTAGGACATTTAGCTGGCCCTCTGGGTGTTTTTGCTGCGACTGCCGGTCCTGCTTAGCAGCTGACTCGTCCTCGGGCCTGCAGTCCGGCCCTCCAACCGTCTGAGGGACTGTGAACTGGCCCCCTGTTTAAAAGGTTTGAGGTCCCCTGCTTTAAAGCAACCTAGAGAGGAGAAGAGATTGGCTGTGGGCTTCAGCCACGTAAAATGGAGATCCATTTACCTGAAGAGGTGGTGAGGTATATCTTCTCCTTTCTGGAAGCATCCAGCTTGCTACAGGTTTCTCAAGTGAACAAGGTAAAGTCTCCCCAGCCTCTGCTGTTTTGTCTGAATTGCCCACACCTCTCTGCTGTGTCAAGACGCCTTCTACCTCTCACCCTCAGCCCTGGTATCTTGGCTACCCTACGGTCATACCCACACAGCCTGCCTCCATTCCTTAAATTTACCTTGTTCAGACCCACTCATTCAGCACTGTTATCCTAGTGTCCCTGGGGCTCAGTCATTTCCCTTGATCAGTTTGTGCACTAATTTCCAGAATAGCAGAGAGGTACACTGAACATCTGGGAGTTAGCACTGTTTATCGTGAGGACCTCATAATGTGTTAAATGCAAAGGAGCAACTGATATATAGGAGTTGTGCTGAGTAAATGGTCTTGAGGCTCCCATTTCAAGTCTTAGGAAGTCAACACTTCTTTCTCTGAACTCTCACTGGTATGCTGAGTGCCCATATTGGCAGTGACAGACCTCTGCCATTACCATTTCCCTGTCTCCCCAGACTAGGAGTTCTCTGAGATCTGGGATCCTGTCTAATCAACTCACATGGGCCCACTTCCCAGAATAAATGATAGCAGAGGAAGTGCCAACACTTGGGTACTGATTGCCTGCTCATCTCTTTCTCTCCCTTAGTTTTGGAATAGTGTTGCAGACAGTGAACATCTGTGGAGGTGAGGAGGAGAAGGGGCAGGTGGGGAGGGGAGAGGAGGCATCTGACTGTGCACCTACACTTTAGCTAAGCCTATGCTATGGGAGGCATGCAGCATGGTTAGGCTGAGCAGGGATCATGAGATGAAGCTGTGGCTTTGTGGAGGTGAACTAAGGACAATTTGATGGGATTGTGACTGTTTACAGAAAACTGTGTCTGAAGAGATGGGGCTTCTGGGACTTCACCTGTAAGTGTCTGGGCACACAGACATGGAAGCAATCTTTCCTCCACCGCATAAAGAAGGAACGTCGGATGGCATTGGCACAACCTGATGACTTTATCTACAAAGAAACCAGTGGGGACTTTGGTATGGGGACATGTGCCCTAGAGGAATATAGTAAAACTTGTTGCTTTCAGAAGTCCACTCAGTTTTATCTTTCCTATATACAGCTCTGTGTTCTCATTCAGTGAAGAGAAAAAGAAATTAAAATGTTACAGGACAGGGTTGCTGTGACAGCCATGTGACTAATCCCCACCCACCCACCCACACACACACACACTCATTACTTCTTCTCTCATTCCCCGTGGTCTATGCTGAATGAAGAAACCAAGTGATCTTTTCACAACATAAAATCAAGCCCTGTGATCCTTTTTTCCCAAAGGTTTTCCATCCCTCCTAGAATAAAATCTGAGAAAAAAATTAGTGGGGAACTCTTAAATACCAGAGGCTCTACTGATCACTTTATTCCTGATGACTCTTAAAACTTAGAATAATTTTCTAGAGAGATTTTTTAATATCCATTTTCTATCTATAGAAACTAAGATTAATTAGAGAAAAAAACAAGCTGGCCAATAGTATCTCTCAAATGGCCCGCCTGCAAAGGGAATCCATGTTTGGCTGACTTTGAGGCCCAATTTCCATCTTCTCCTAAGAGAGTACAGGAAAACTTAAAATCATCTTTATTTGGTTTGATCCTCCCTCAACTATCTAGGGGCTAAGTATTGTCTTGTGTTTCCTGCTAGGAGTCTTTGAAGAGTTGGCTTATCTCTCAGGGAAGAACCTCAGAATAGATGAAAAAGAGAAGTCAATTATTTGTATTACAACTTCCAAGCACGTGCTTTATGCCTGGGATGTGCAAGAGGTGAGTCTGGCCATTGAGTACCAAAAGTACTGCCTACCTGCATCTACCCTGTTACATGTGCATAACCAGTGCTCAGAGAAAAATGATACTCTGAAATGGTAACAAAGACAAAGTTTCAAATCAAGTTTTCTAACTTGTAATTTGTGACATTTTCATTTAGATCACAGACACAGAGAATTCACTTTTTATTATGTGTTTCTCTAAATATGCTTGTACTAGGACTTATTTTCTACCAAAGCCAACACTGAAACTTACCAGTCATATGAGTGAGTCATCTTGAAAGTGAAACTTGATTTTAACCTCATAAGAGCCCCAGAGCCAGAATTACTCTGTCAAGCTGTGCTAGAATTTCTGACCAACAGAAACTTTGAGATTACAAAAGCTTTTTGTTTTAAGTCACAAAATCTCTATATGGCAATAGATAGATATCACTACACAGGCAACCTGTTAATAGTGTTGGGGAATCAAATAGTGATTATATTTGAGGAGGACGGAGGGGTTATTAAAGAGAGCAAGTGCAGGGAGACTTTGGCAGGGCTTAGAAGTGGTACATTGGTATTATAATAATTAAGCTTTACATTTATGTTTTTGTCCTTTTGTGTGATATAATTCAAATACTTTTTAAAGGCTGAAGAAAAGTCTAGAAGGGAAACTATTCTGTCTTGCTTCCAATATATAAAAGTGATCATGGAATAACAATTTTCATGATAGGTAATAACTTGTGAGCTCCTACTGTGTCCTAGGCAGAATTCTAAGTATGTTTTGTGTGTTGGGAAATATAACAGCCCTTCGTAAATATATGAAGCCAAGAAGCCGTGATAACAAGTAACTTGCAATGTTGCTTTGTTAGCAAGAGGCAGAACTGATTTGAGGCCAGGAAGTCTGGTCATTCTTTATGCCTGTTATATAGCAAGTTCCTGTCTCTGAGTACATTGCATAGTTCCTGTTTTCATGTTCATTCTCCACAAATAGAGATGTTTAGAATTTTCATGACATTTCCCCAGAAACAAGAAGTGTCTCTGATTTTGAAGAGGCTTCCAAATAAACATGGGAAGAAAGAAAACATCATAGATGCGAAGAGTTCCCTGAACACAGATAGCATCACTCTTGTTTTTTAGGGTATTATGATCTGGTCAAGCCCAGTCCAGCCGTTCAAAATGAATAAACTGACAACAATCCCTCAGATGCATCTTGCAATCACTTCGGACTTTGGGGGAACTATAAAAGTGTGGAATTGTCAGGATAGGGATGCTCTGGCTGATATCACTGTCCCTAGTGTCTGCATTTCCTTGGAAGCCTGTTTCTCAAAGGATACCCCATTCATAATGGTAAGTGAGCCCTGAATCTGGAAGGGGTCCACAAATCCAAATGCCTGCTGCCCTGACGAGTGTTGCGTTCTCATTACTGTCCTATCTCTATCTGCTATCTGTCTTCTTGGAGTCATCCTTTCCACATACTCTGAGAGTCAGTCACAATATTCCAGTGAATCTTGCCATACAAATCTCTGTACCATCTTGGCCTTTGACCTAACTCAAGTGCATTGCCTCAGCCATTCTTTTATTTTATTTTTATTATTTATTTATTATTTTTGTTGTTGTTGTTGAGACAGAGCCTCAAGCTGTCCCCCTGGGTAGAGTGTGATGGCATCACAGCTCACAGCAACCTCCAACTCCTGGGCTCAAGAGAGTCTCCTGCCTCTGCCTCCCAAGTAGCTGGGACTACAGGCGCCCACCACTATGCCTGGCTATTTTTTGGTTGCAGCTGTCATTGTTGTTTGGCGGGTCCAGGCTGGATTCAAACCCGCCAGCTCAGGTGTATGTGGCTGGCGTCTTAGCCACTTGAGCCATAGGCGCTGAGTCAACCCTCAGCCATTCTTAAAAAAAAAAAATTATTGAAATAGTCTATATATGTCTCTTCTTTCAAATGTGTATTATTGTATAGTCCATGAACTTGAACAGTGACAGTGGAGGGATATATAGATTTGGGGAGACATTGAGAAAATATAGTGTAAATATGCTAATGAGTAACTATCTTCAAAGAACGCTTTGGGGCTTAGAAAGTTTTATTCTATGGGATCATCCCAGCAATTTGTGAGGACTGCTACCCAGAGGTTGTGATCTTCATTAGGTTAGTGAAGAAATGGTGGCATATCTTGCTGCAGACAGTGCTACCTCCTGGGTACTTCAGGGTTCCACGTTTCTTTCTATTGATATGGCAGGGATGCTTTGGTTTCAGGTTGGTATTTCCGCAGGTGACATCTACACATTTACAGTGCCTGATTTAACGACTGTTTCGCACATTAATGCGTTTGAATACAGTATGAATCTTCTATATTGTTCTCCTGACAAGAACTGGGTCTTTGCGTGTAGGACACATCAACATGTACTGCCAAAGGTATGTGCGGTTCTGTGTGCTTCAACTGCCAGATGGGAGGGTCAAGCATTAGGAAGGTCAGGTTAAAAAATATTTAGAGAGGGTGGCGCCTGTGGCTCAAGGAGTAGGGCACCGGCCCCATATACCAGGGGTGGCATGGTCAAGACTGGCTCCAGCCAAAACTGCAAATATATATATATATATATTTAGAGAAACTGCAGAGCTCAATGAGGACCAGGCATGTTGTTCTTCCTTCCCTAAGACCATGTCACAGGGGAGTGCATCCTATAGTCCGGGAGCGATGCTTTGCCATGGCAAATGTTTATTAATGAAACTCTGTGGCTCGGCGCCTGTGGCTCAAGTGGCTAAGGCGCCAGCCACATACACCTAAGGTGGCGGGTTCGAATCCCCAGCCCGGGCCCGCCAAACAACAATGACGGCTGCAACCAAAAATAGCCAGGTGTTGTGGCAGTGGGTGCCTGTGGTCCCAGCTACTTGGGAGGCAGAGGCAAGAGACTCTCTTGAGCCCAGGAGTTGGAGGTTGCTGTGAGCTGTGATGCCACGGCACTCTACCCAGGGGGATAGCTTGAGGCTCTGTCTCAAAAAAAAAAAAAAAAGAAAGAAACTTTGTTCATGAAATCTGAATCTGTCAAAGAGATGGAGGAGGTAGAGAGAGGTATCACAAAATTGGGATTTTTTTTCTGAGACTGAGTCTCACTCTGTCACACTGAGTAGAGTGCAGTGGTGTCATCAGAGCTCACTACAACCTGAAACTCATGGGCTCAAGTGATCCTCCTGCCTCAGCTTCCCAAGTAGCTGGGACTACAAGTGTGTGTCACCAGGTCCAGACAAGAAATTGGGATCTTTGATAATCTGTTCACTTTTGTTTTCCTTGCATTACTTTTATCTACCTTAGCTGGAAAGTACAGAGAAGCCCAGAAGTCAATATCCATGAGCTTCTTTCACTCTGAGGAAGCCTTCGGCCTTTGACCAGGCCATTTATAACATGGCAGCTATAGACTGGGCACCAAATGTTAAGACCAGAGGTGAGAAGAGCAAAATAGTCTTTGACTAGTTCCTCAAAAGAGTCAACCTCAACTTGATCAGGGGTTCAATATGGCAAGATGGTTTTGTAACCTCTTGCCATGCTTTAGGGACTCCATTCTATCTGCGAATATGACAGGGAGGATAGAAAGACAGTGAGTTCCCTATATGTTGGAGTGACATGCAGCAGCCACTCAGCCCTTCCTGAGATACAGAATCAGGCTTTGGCCACAGGATGGGGACATTTAAGGAGGCTTTTCTGGAGTCACACCCAGACACTATCACTTCCTCCTTCACTTAATGACAGGGCAATCCTCTCTCTTTAGGTATTTTTCACAGAGAGCTTACTGAGACCATCAGAAGGCAGCACCCCTCTGTCTTGCTCTCTCTCATTTTCATCATGCTGCGGAGCCTGCTGGACTCCAAGGAAGGAAAGTACGATAACGCTGATGTTCCGAAAAAGCACTACCAGAAGGATGGGATTTGCCACCTTTGATATAACAATGAAGAAGACTGGGGACAAAACAGAAATCCAGGGTGGGCTATGCCACATTAGAAACACGTGCTTTTATTCCCTATCACACATGCATGCACGCTAATGTAAATGGGTCAATTTGTGTGAAGAAGCTAGAAATCTCTTTAACTGTAGGTGAGCCACAGCTATTTGATGCTAATACCCACACTTGCTTCTCCATGCTACCCTGCTCACTTGGGCAGACAGGTTGAGATTTCCATCATGTTTCAAAACCTGGGTTCCAATGCCCTTCCCCACCAAAGGCCTTCCCTCAATGCCGAGCTACTATTTCTCATCCATAGCCTTCTGTCCTGTGTCTTGACACCTGTTACCACAGTCAGTGATGGCCATTTTCCTCACAGTACTAAAGTCCCAAGGAAGTAGGGAATATGTTTTTTCATTCAATGCAAGGATATTGTTCTGATTCAGTGATCCCATATCCACCTGTGTGTCTGTCTGTGTATGTACACATATGTGTTTTGTATGAAAACAGCACACCTGATCGGAAGCTTCCTGTTGCCAGTGGATATGAGTCTTTCTCTGTGGATGGGAATCAGTCCTGAAAATCTGATTGTCTGTGAGAGTGGGCCATGCTTATTCCTCTTCACCATCAGTGGCCTCCTGCTGCAACAGTTTGAGAACTACCAGACAAACATCAGCTTATGGGCGGTATGTATGATCCCTCTCCTCCTACTACTTTTGATCTGACTTTGACTTTTTGGCCACTCACTCTGGATGTCCTTTGAAGGATTCTCTTCATGTTGTCACCGTGTCCGTGGATAACTCTTTGCATATGTACATGTGGGAGGAGGAAGGCCGCTATCCGTACCTCAAGAGCTGCTGTCACCTAGCACACAAGCAGCACAGGGAGCTGCAGTACGAGTAAGCCCTGCTTTGTAACCTAAACTTTCCCTGATAATTTGTAATGTCTACATTAAAATGAAGAATGGACAAATAGGTTTATCCTATAATTCTATGAGGATAGATACGACTAGCTTATGCCTGAAAAGGGAATTCATTCTTCTTGGGAGTTACAACACTTGCAATAGATGTCAAAAGACTTTCCAAACTGGCCCTCAACTTCTGCTTCCATGAGCAGTGTATGGAAGATTATGTACCCAATATCCTGTCTTTACTTGAAGGTTTGTACCATTGTTGAGTTCATGTTGCCATTTGGGTTGCTTCTTTAGTGAGCTGCCTTTATTTCCACTTTGCTAATTTTTCCTCTGTATTGCTTACCTTTAAATTATTTTCCTTGAGATTTTACATATTGTACATAGAGGTCTTATCTTTTACAAGCTTTAGAAATATTTTCTTTCAGGCTCGGCACCTGTAGCTCAGTGGTTAGGGTTCCAGCCACATACACCGGGGCTGGCAAGTTCGAATCCAGCCTGGGCCTGCTAAACAACAATGACAACTACAACGAAACAATAGCTGGGCATTGTGGTGGGTGCCTGTAGTCCCAGCTACTTGGGAGGCTGAGGCAAGAGAATCACTTGAGCCGAAGAGTTTGAGGTTGCTGTGAGCTGTGACCCCACAGCACTCTACCAAGGGCGACATAGTGAGATGTCTCAAAAAAAAAGAATTTCTTTCAGATGGTTTGTCATTATCATGATTATAGTATGTTTTTTGCAATATCTGGCAAAATACATATACATATACCCTTTGAATTGCCATGCCACTAAAGGGTATATATCCAGTGATTAAAATTACACTGGATACTCTGGTTTTCTCTTCAGATTATATAAATCTTTTGCCCTTTTTTTCTTTTCTTTTTTTTTTTTATTGTTTGGGATTCATTGAGGGTACAAAAGATGCTGATTGTGTTTGTGAGGTAAAGTTCCTCTTGTAATTATACCCTGCCCCCAAGAAATGTGCCATACACCATTCCCTCCTTCCCCTTCCCTCCTCCCCCCCATCCCTCACTCCCCTATAGCCCCCCTTGTATTAGATTATCTACTGCCTTCATATTAAAATTGAGTACATTGGATTCTTGTTTCTCAATTCTTGTGATGCTTTACTAAACAGAATGTGTTTCAACTTGATCCAGGTTAATACAAAAGATGTAAAGTCTCCATTTTTTTAATGGCTGAATAGTATGACGTGGTGTACATATATCACAGCTGGTTAATCCATTCCTGGGTTGGTGGGCATTTAGGTTGTACCCAGAAGAAAAAAAAATTTTATCCTAAGTACATTGGCACTAGACTGTTCGTTGCAACTCAATTTACAATAGCCAAAATGTGGAATCTTTTGCCTTTTTTAAGAAATACATTGGCTCTTCATTACAGTATCATTTGACTGCCAAATGCTGAAAATTCCTTAACCACCCAAATGTAAGAGATCATCTTAAGTATTTTTTGTTTGTTTGGTTTTGGTTTTTTTTTTTTTGACAGGAGCCTCAAGCTGTCCCCCTGGGTAAAGTGCTATGGCATCATAGCTCACAGCAACCTCCAACTCTTGGGCTCAAGTGAGTCTCCTGCCTCAGCCTCCCAAGTAGCTGAGACCACCGGCACCCACCACAACACTCAGCTATTTTTTGGTTGCAGGTGTCATTGTTTGGCAGGTCTGGGCTGGATTTGAACCTGCCACCTTGGGTGTATGTGGCTGGCGCTTTAGCCACTTGAGCCACAGGCGCTGAGCCGATCATTTTAAGTATTGTACAGCTTTTTTAAAATTTTTTTTTCCTAAGACAGGGTTTCACGCTTGCTCAGGCTGGTCTCTAACTACTGAGGTCAAGGGATGCACCCCCACTCAGCCTCCTAAAGTGCTAGGATTTCAGGCATGAGCCACTGTGCCTGGCTTGTTTTCAACTTTTTAAAAGGGAAAATTTCTGGCTGGGTGCAGTGGCTCACACCTGTGACCCTAGCACTAGGAAACAAAGGAGGATCTCTTGAGCTTAGGAGTTTGAAACTAGCCTGAGCAAAAATGACACCTGTCAGGCCAGGCAGTGGCTCACACCTGTAATCCTAGCACTCTGAGAGGCTAAGACAGGTGGATTGCTCTGAGCTTACAGGTTCGAGACCAGGTTAAGCAAAAGTGAGACCCAGTCTCTTTGGAAAAAAGAAAGAAAGAAAGAAAGAAAAATAGCCGTGTGTTGTGCGGGCGCCTATAGTCCCAGCTACTTGGGAGGCTGAGGCAAGAGAATCACTTGAGCCCAAGAGTTGGAGGTTGCTGTGAGCTATGATGCCAAAGCACTCTACCAAGGGTGACAAACAAACAAAAAAAAGAGGCTTGGTGCCCATAGCCCAGTGGTTAGGGTGCCAGCCACATATATTGGGGCTGGCAGGTTTGAACCCGGACCAGGCCTGCCAAGCAACAATGACAACTACAACAAAGAAAATAGCCAGGCATTGTGGCGGGTACCTGTAGTCCCAGCTATTTCGGAGGCTGAGGAAGGAGACTCGCTTGAGCCCAGGAGTTGAAGGTTGCTGTGAGCTGTGATGCCATAGCGCTCCACCCAGGGGGACAGCTTGAGGCTCTGTCTCAAAAAAAAAAGAAAAAATAGAAAATTCTGTAATTGGAAGCACCATCAAACCATGAAATATCACTCCCAAAATTTCTTTATGATCCAGTGCAGTCCATTCTTCCTTCCACCTCCAGTACCAGCCAGTACTAATCTTCTTTCTGTCCCTATAAGTCTATATTTCCAAAACTTTTAAGTATGTAAATGGAATTATATATATAGTATGCATTCCCTTATTCCTGGCCTCTTTTAATGAACATGGTGTTTCTGAGATTCACTCATGTGGAGTATATCAGTAGTTCACTCCTTTTTATTGGCAATGGTTTTCCCTTGTATAGCTATACCACAGGTGATCACTTCACCAGCAGAGGAGCATGTTTTCAGTTTGGAATGATTATAAATAAAACTGCTATGGCGGC